AATATACTTCAATAAAAAAACAAAATTTTTAAGGGGCACCTAGGTGGCTCAGGCAGTTGAGTGTCCAACTCTTGATCTCAGCTCAGGTCTTGACCTTGGGGTCATGAGTTCAGGCCCCGACCCATGTTGGGCTCCATGCTGGGTATGGAGCCTACTAAAAAAAAATTTTTTTAAAGGCTAATGATAAGAAACGTGTATGAATATATATGTAGCAGAAGCAGGGAGAGAGATGGAACAAATGTTGTAAAATGTTGACAAATATGGAATCTGGGTGAAGCAGATATGGGATTTCAGAATAAGTTTAAAATTAATAATTTCTAAAATTTAATAATTTAAGTAATAAATCTAATAATTTCCAAAAATTTTTTTTAAAAACAGCAACAAAGAGATAACACCTGAATTTCAAACATTAAAGAATTCTAATAAGCATGGAGATAGAAGAAAACAGGTTACTTACAAAGAAAATAAGAAATAAGTCTGCCTTTAAATTTCTACTCATAAGCATTAGCTATTGTGAGGCAAAAGATCAATAGCCAGCTAGTTTAAAGGAAAAAAGATAATGACTCAAAGATTATTTTTACTATTCAACTGTTTGTAAAAAAAAAAAAAAAAAATTTCTGAGTTCTTGCTGGCATATGTGAGAATGTCTACCAACTTTACAAAGTAACAAGGCTATCTGTTCTGACAGTAAGTATAAATGTGCTGAACATTTATTAAAGGAAAAAATACTGACAGAGAAAGTTAAAAATAAAAATTCAATCATGTACTTTTTCTAAACCAGTTTGTTTTAGTTCTGTAGGAGAAAGGTTAAGTAAAAAGATGAATAAAAATACAAAAAAGAACAATGAACCAAAAGAAAGCAGGGGTCACAATATTAATATTGAACAAAACAGACTACAAGGTAAAAGCATTGTAATAGGATCAAGAAGATAAATTTGACCAAAGCAGGTACATTCCATATAAAAGCTTACATGCTTAGTAACAGCACTGAAATGTACAGAGCAAACACTGCAGAAAATAGAAGGAGAAAAAAGCAGACCATTGCAGTGGAAATACTTTACTTCAACTCTGGCAGTCTTCAGCAGATTTCACAAATCAAGGATATAAAGGATCAAATTAATATCTAATGTAACATGTTCAATTCTAAGATCCTGTTCTTTTCCCTAAAATCTGCTCCTTCCCTAGCAGTCTCCAAATCAAGTAATGACAACACCATTCTTTCAGGTGCTCAAGCCAAAAGCCTCAAAGTTATCCCTGACACCTCTCTTACATCCCACATCCCATCCATCAGGAAAGCCTGTGGATTCTATCTTCAAAAATATTCAAAATCCTACTACTGCTCTCCACCCTCCACTGCTACCACCCGACTCTAAGCAAACTCTTACTGGGATTAGTAATGTCTCACCAGTCTCCCTGCTTCCAACCTTACACCAGCCCCCTCAAACTCACCAGTCCCTCCCTAATACAACAGCCACAGTCATTCTGTTTATAAGTCCGTCATATTGCTCCTCTGCTCAAAACCCTCCAATGCCTTATCATTTCTTAGGAAAAGCCAAAAATCCTTAAAAGAGCCTTTAACATCCTACGTGATCTTTCATTCTTGTTATCTCTATGACATCATCTCCTACTACTCTATCCCTCTCTTCCTTTGCTCCAGTCTCCTTGGTGTTTTGCCATCAGAATCATTATCATATCAGAAAAACTGCCCTTGGTCTTTCCTCTACCTGAGGCATTATTTCCTCATACAGCTGCATAACTTGCTTCCTCATCTTTTTCCTATTTCGCTCAAATGATCACTTCCTCAGTGAGGCCTTTTCTGCCCAGCTACCTAAGAATGTAACCGCCATTTCCCACTGCAAAATCCCTGCTTTATTTTTCTACTCTCAATCCAGCAAATCATAAGTTTTGCTATCTTTTTTTTTTTTATTGTCTTCTATTCTGGTCCCCCAGAAAGTAAGCTCCAGGTGTGCAGAAGTTTTTGTCAGTTTTGTTCACTACCACATCTGCAGTCTCTAGAAGGATACATAGTAAGTATTCCATAATATTCTATAAATATTCAAGAGTTCCAGGGCACCTGGGTGAAAGCATCTGCCTTCGGCTCAGGTCATGATCTGAGGGTCCTGGGATTAAGTCCTGCATCGGGCTCCCTGTTCAACAGGGAGTCTGTTTCTCCCTCTCCCTCTCCTCCCCAACCCCGCTCATGCTCACTCACTTTCTCTCCAATAAATAAATATCTGGGGCACCTGGGTGGCTCAGTTGGTTAAGCGACTGCCTTCGGCTCAGGTCATGATCCTGGAGTCCCAGGATCGAGTCCCGCATCGGGCTCCCTGCTCGGCAGGGAGTCTGCTTCTCCCTCTGACCCTCCTCCCTCTCATGCTCTCTGTCTCTCATTCTCTCTCTCTCAAATAAATAAATAAAATCTTTTAAAAAATTAAAAAAATAAATATCTTTAAAAATAAAAAAAATGTGAGTTCCATAAATATTCAAAATATATTCAAAAATAGACATCCACTCAATAAAATAAGTGGATGTGTATTTTTATATCCATATATGTACACAAAAGAATAATATTCTTTTTCAAGCACCCATGGGAGAATTTTTTATATGTTCTAAGCATACTATAGGTCACAAAGAAAACCTTAATAAATTCAAAAAATAAATAATACAAGCCAAAGTTCCCTAGAACAATGAAATGAAACTAGAAATTGTTAACAAAGAACAAAACACTTCAGAATAACAGCCAACAGTATGTTTTAACATAAACCAGATATTAAACTAAACAAGAAAGCTATGGGATTGGAAATGATATCCCCATTTTACAGATAAGGATGCTGAAGGTAAGAGGAATTAAGTTTTTTACTCAAGATAACATAGTAAATAAGTGGTAGAGCTGGATTCAACCCCAGGGACTCTGGAGACCAAGCTCTTAACTAATATACTCTTAAAAAAACTCCTGGGTCAAAGAAAAATCACTGTAATTTAGGGTATACTACAATAAGAATACAACATTTGGGGCGGCCTGGGTGGCTCAGTTGGTTTAGTATCCAACTCTTGATTTCGGCTCAGGCCATGATCTCAGGGTTGGTGGGACTGAGCCCCACATCAGGCTCTGCGCTCAACAGGGAGTCTGCTGGAGATTCTCTCTCCCTTTGCCTCCCCCCCCCCGCCCCTCCCCCTGCTCGCAGGCTTTCTCTCTCTCTAAAATAAATGAATAAATCTTTTTTTTTTTTAAAGGAACACAACATTTTTTAAAAAGCTATAAAATTGGGGCACCTGGGTGGCTCAGTTGGTTGACAGTCCGACTCTTGATTTTGGCTCAGGTCATGATCTCAGGGTCTTGAGATCAAGCCCCAGGTGGGGCTCCATACTCAGCACAGAGTCTGCCCTAGATTCTCTCTCTCCCTCTTGCTCTCCCCCAACCCCACACACACTTTCTAAATAAATAAATAAATAAACAAATAAATAAATCTTTTAAAAAATTTTTTTAAATAAATAAAAAGCTGTAAAATTAAGCCAATACTACTCAAGAAAATTCATTGTTTTTTCAAATAAAAAATTTTTTATCAAATAAAAAATATAAAAATAATTAGAGAAAGCCTTCAACTTAGAGGAGAAAAATAATAAAATAAATCTAAACACAGGGAGAAAAAACAATTTAAAAGGAAAAACAAAGGGGGCGCCTGGCTGGCTCAATTGATAGAGCCTACGACTCTTTGTTATCAGGGTTGTAGGTTCAAGCCCCACATTAAGTATAGAGATTACTTAAAAATAAAATCTTTAAAAAAACAAATTCCAAATTCCACATTCCTAGCATTTCAAGAGATGCAAATCAAAAGGAAAAAGAGGGGCGTTGGGTGGCTCAGTAAGTTGAGTGTCCAACTCTTGATTTTGGCTCAGGTCATGATCTCAGAGTTGTGAGATCAGCTCTGAGCTCAATAAGGAGTCTGCTTAAGATTCTCTCCCTTTCCCTCTAGCCACCCCACTGCCCCACAGCCAGCCCCGCTCAAGGGCACACCTGTGTGTGCTCTATTTCTCTCAAAAAAAAAAAAAAAAAGAGAGAGAGATTCCAATTTAAAAAAATTAAAAATAAAAGGAAAATTAATTAGGAAAGAAAAAATAGTATAACAGATTAAATTCCAAGCACACATTCTTTAGCAGCATAAAAATTACAAAACTATTAAGAGGCATTTAAAAAACTATGTAAAGTTTCAAACATATTTAAAATAGAAAAAATTATATAATGAAACTGATATATCCATCATACAGCTACAGTAATCAATACACGGCTAATCTTGCTTCATTTATACCCTTAGCAGCTTAACATTTTTATTTTTTTTTAAGATTTATTTATTTGAGAGAGAGAGAAAGTGTGTGGCGGGTAGAGGCAAAGGGAGAGGGAGAGAAAGTCTCAAGCAGATCTGCACTGAGCATGAGCCCAATGCCAGGCCCTACCTCACAACCCTGAGATCATGACCTGAGCCGAAATCAAGAGTCAGGCGCCCAACCAACTGTGTCACCCCGGCACCCCTTAACATTTTTCAATACTAGAATAGATTTTTTTTTTTTTTAAAGATTTTATTTATTTATTCATGAGAGACAGAGAGACAGAGGCAGAGGGAGAAGCAGGCTCCCCGCGGAGCAGGGAGCCCGATGCGGGACTCGATCCCAGGACCCTGGGATCATGACCTGAGCCGAAGGCAGACGCTTAACGGACTGAGCCACCCAGGCGTCCCTAGAATAGATATTTTAAGTGTCAATTATTTCATTATGTTCTACCTCAATGAAAGGACCGTCACTCTGTCATTCTTTCTCTTTCTCTTCCTCCTCTATCACATAGGTGTAAGGTCTTACAAATCTCTAAACATATAGTAAGGCTCTTTGGAGTAAGTACTCAATACACATTTGCCACTGGTGATTATTTATATAAAACATAGCACACCCTTACTTTGTATGCATAATGCCATAAATATCAAGACAAGAGACAATAAATAATAACCTACTTGAACTTTTCTGAACTTCCTTGTCATCCACATCGGAATTATTCTTTCCAGATGTTAAATAATTCTTGAGCCTGAAAGGTCCACTTTAAGATAAAAAAGTAAACCATCAAATTTGTACTTGTATAATACATATATCTAATTATCTATCCTAATGGTCATTTTTCTCCAAAAACTGCCAAAGGTTTCCTTCTTATAAAACCAACAGTGATGTTATAGATTACCAAAAATATATTTACATGCTACATAAAATAAAGAATCTATAATTTAATCCTATAACTGTCAAACAGGACAAATACTGAATTTTAAAACCTTTTAAATTTCATGAATCAATTTTAAATTTTAAGTCAACTCAAGTAACACCCCTGATAAGAATCAAATCAAAGAGTATTATTAAAAATATTAGAAATAAATCAGCTTGTCTTAATTTAAAAATACAGTCAAAAACAAGTGGAATTTAAAATATAGTCCAGAAGTTGCTCAGAGATAATTCAGCTTATCCCAGCCCTAGATTCCTTTCCTTCTATTATGAACCCAGGATAGGCCTAGTAGTCATAACCCACCAAATAGTAAAGAAATCTTAGCCATCACTTAAATGTCTTGAGAATGTTATAATTTACCATTCTTTCATTTTAAAAAAGGGTATATGACTTCAGATATTATAAGAATAGGTTAATTTGGTTTGTTCACTGAGTGTACCTGTTTTAAACACATACCCACAAATTCTTAAATACTCCTCTTTTCAAGAGAGAGAGCCTAATCCCCCATTCCTTGAACATGGTCTGGACTTAATGACCTGTTTCTAACAAATAGAATGAAGTGGAAGTGACAGTATGCAACTTCAGATACTAGGTTATTAAAAGGGAATTTTAACCTCCATCATAGTCACACTTTCTCTTGGATCACTTGCTTTGTAAAAAGCCAGCTGCCGTATTGAACAGCCCTATGGAGAGGGCCACATGACAAGGAAGGCCTGCAGCTAACAGCCATGGGAGCAAACTACCTTATAAGTAGATCCTCCAGTCACAGTCAGGCCTTCAAAGGACTGCAAACCAGGTAGACATCTTGAATGCTACACCTCATTAGAACCCCTGAGTAAGAACTAGCCAGCTAACCCAGACTTCTGGGCCACAGAAACTATGAAACCATAGATGTTCGCAAGTGACTATTAAAGTTTGGGGTAATTTGTTACACAGCAGTGAGTGACTAATATAATAAGTAAATCCAATTATCCTTAGAACACATGCATACCTTCCTTCCAAAACTGAAGTCTTAGGCTCTCCAGAATCCAAGTTAGATTCTGCTGGTGTCTTGCGTGTAAATCTCCTGATCTGAGACTTCAGATGAACATTTTGTCCAGTCATATTATCTTGATCCTTTGTGTTTCTTGTACCTCTGTGAAAATGTAAAGTGTAAAATTATTTTCATTTCTCCATAAAATATTTCTTCTAGAAACAATACACAATGAGTAGGCCATATAATACTGGTTGTAACAAATATTAGATAACCCTATTCAGGTCCTAGGACTTACAACTAGCCTAGGAAGAAAACTTGATTCTAGGACCTACTAAGAAAAATTCTGAAATGGTACAGACCTGGCCTAAGATGGAGGTGATGACAGGGGGGAACACAAGGAGACATTACTACAGGCAGCATATAATGTATATTATACACTTAATCTATCATTTTTTTGAAAATCCACAAACAACTGAAATTGTTTTCTTTGACACCCCTAGTCAGCCTATTGAGGAACAACAGGATGCTCAGAGGGACTCTGGTTCATCTCTTTAGTAGCTAACAGCTATTTAATTTATCTCCAATATATGCAAATAGGACATATTATTCCCAGATTGTATAATTTTTCTCTTCTCTCCCATTTCTCTTGTAAGTCCTATGTTTTAATTTGTTTCTTGACTCAGTCTATCAGCCTACTCTTATCATATGTGAGAAAATAATTTGCATGCAAAATAACTAAAGAACATGCAGACTTTGGTCCTACGATCACAGTCTAAAGAAATAAAAGGGATTATAAGAGAATACTATGAACAATTATACATCAACAAATTAGATAACCTAGATGAAATGGATAAATTCCTAAAGACATACAAATTACCAAAACTGATTCAAGAAGAAATAATCTCAAAAGACCTGTAACAAGAGAATGAATCAGTAATCAAAAAACTACCCGGAAAGAAAACCCCAGGCCCAAATGGTTTCACTGCTGAATTCTTCCAAGCATTCAAATAATACAAATTCTTCACAAACTCTTTCAAAAAACAGAAGAGAACTTCTCAACTCACTTTATGAGGCCAAGATTATCTTGATACCAAAACTGGACAAAGACATCACAAGAAAACTAAACCAAAAAACTCAACATACTAGCAAAAGAAATCTAACAATGTGTAAACAAATTATACATACATCATGACCAAATGGGATTCATACCAGAGATGCAGTTTGGTCTACCATCCAAAAACCAATTAATATAATACATCAGATCAATAACAAAAAAAAAATCACATCATCATATTAGTAGATGCAAAAAAAAAAAAAAAAGCAAGCATTTAACAAAATCCAACACCTTTTTATGATAAAAACGCTCAACAAACTAGGACTAGAAGAGAACTGCCACAACTGATAAAAGGGTATATATGAAAAACCTACACCTAGCAGTATACTAAATGGTGAAAGACTAGATGTTTTCCTCCTAAAATTTAGGAACCAGACAAGGAAGTCTGCTGTTACCACTTCTATTAAACACTGTACTAAAGATTTTAGCTAGGGCAATTAGGCAATATAAAACAAATAAATAATAGATTGGAAAGGAAGGGTAAAACTACCTCTATTAAAAAATGACACGATTTTTGTACTCAGAAAATCCTATTAAGTACACTAAAAAGCTAATAAATGACACTAATAAATGACTTCAGCAAGGTTGCAGAATATATAAAAACCAACTGTATTTCTATACACTTGCAATGAACACCCAAAAGTAAAATTTAAAAGCAACTCTATTCACAATAGCATCAAAACAAATAAAATGCTTAGGAATGAATTTAACAAAAGAAGTGTAAAACTTATGCTCTGAAAACATTGTTGTAATAAGTTAAAGATCTCAATAGATGGAAAAACATCCCATGTTCATGAATCAAAAGATTTACTGTTAAAATAGCAATATCCCCCAAACTGATATACAGATTCAATGCAATCCCTATCAGAATCTTAACTGATGTCTTTGTAGAAATTGACATGCTGATTCTAAAATTTATATGGAATTGCAAGGAACCCAGAATAGTCAAAAGAATCCTGAAAAGGAAGAATAAAAAGGACTCATACCTCCTGATCTCAAACCTCATCACAGCAATGGTAATCACGACAGTACAGTACTGGACCAAGAACTGATATACAGATCAAGAGAAAAAAGTTGAGAATCCAGAAGGAAACTCATATACGTATGGTCAACTAATTTTCAATAATGGTGTCAAGACCGTTCAATGGGGAAAAAAGTAGTCTTTTCAATAAACACTTACTGGGACAATTGGATAGTCATATGGAAAAGTTGAACCCTTACTTCACAGAATATACAAAAATTAACTCAAAATGGATGAAAGACCTAAATACAAGAGAGTTAAAACTATAAAACTCTTAGAAGAAAAGATAGGGACAAATCTTCATGAACTTGGATTCTTAGATATGACATCAAAAGTATAAGCAATAATAGACTGGACTTTATCAAAATTAAAAGCTTTTGTGCTTCAAAGGACACCATTAAAAAGCAAAAAAGACAACGCCACAGATAGGAGAAAATATTTGCAAATCCCTTATTTGACAAGGAACTTGTATCCAAAATATATAAAGACCTCTAACAACATAATTAAAAAAAACCAAAAAACAAAAAGACAACCCAACTAAAAATAGACTCAAAAGATCTTTTTCTAATGATATGCAAATGACCAATAAACACATGAAAAGATGCTCAACATCACTAGCCATCTGGGAAGTGCAAATGAAAACCACAATGAGATACCACTTTCATACCAACTAGGATGGCTAGCATCAAAGTGAGATAATAACAACTGCTGGCAAGGATGTAGAGATACTGGAACCCTCATACACTGCTCACAGAAATGTAAAATGGTGCAGATGCTTTGGAAAACAGTCTTGCAGCTCCTCAAACAATTTAAATATAGAGTTACCATATGGCTCAGCAATCCCACTCCTAGATATATGTCCAAGAGAACTGAAAACATATGTCCACATAGAAACCTGTACACAAATGTTTATACCAGCATTATTCAAAAGAGCCAAAGGTGGAAACAACCCAAATGTCCATCAATGAATGAACAGATAAACAAAACATGGTATACCATAAAATATTATTTAGTCATAAAAAGTAATGAAGTACTACTGATACATGCTACAACAAGAAACTTGAAAATATCCAAACAGGAGGCACCTGGGTGGCCCAGTCAGTTAAGTGTCTGACTCTTGATCTCAGCTCAGGTCTTGATCTCAGGATCATGAGTTCAAACCCAGGGGGGTGGGGGGGCAGTGAATATCCAAACAGAAAGAAGCCAGTACAAAAAAACTCATACTATAGGATTTTATTCAGGTCAAAATCCAAAATGTAAAATCTATACAAACAAAAAGTATATTAGTGGTTGCTTAGAGCAGTGGAAGAGGGAATGGGAAATGCTAACTAAAGGGTACTGGCTTCTTCGTGAAGTGCTGAAAATGCTCTAAAATTGACTATGTTGACGGTTTGCACCTATCTGTGAATATACTATAAAACCACTGAATTGTACACATTTCATGAGTGAATTGTATGATATGTGAAGTATCCTTCATAAAACTTTTAAAAAAGAAATCTACTGTAATGAGCTTCTGTTCCATCTGGCTTCTAGAAATAATATAGAAATTAAGTGATTACATAAATTTGAATGAAAGAAACTCAGTGGAGACTGCTTACACTTTAAGTGCTCTAGCTCTTAAAGTTTGGTTTATTTTGTTCCCAACAGGTTTTAGTAGGGAAAAAGGAAGTTAGCTTGTAGTTTAATTAATGCTCATGGTTATAAAGAAGCAAAAAATATCACTTTTAAACAAGTTAAAAGTTTCAATATCTGTTAGATACATGCAGAGAGCAGAAGTAACTCATGTAACATCTCTAATCAGGAAGATGCCTTAAAAATTTTTTTAAAAAAAGGAAGACTCCTTAGACAAATTAATTTATTGATTTTGGCTTAAATACTATTATCCATCTCCTCCCTGATTTCAACACGTGTGTGTGTGCGCACGCGCGCGTGTGTGTGTGGTATGTGTCACATAATATTCTAGTATTGAAAAGGCTTAAATTCATTTTCTCCCAAAAAACCTAGTAAGTTTTAATTCCTAAAATTCCTCTACTGGTTTTTCATAGTGAAAAATTATCAAAAGACTAAATACATTGTACACCTGAAAATATAACACTATGTTAATTATACTTGAAGAAAAGGAACAGTAGCATCTGGAAATAAATAAAATAAATAAATAAAAATCATTTAAAAAAAATAACAGCAGAAGTGGAAACCACCCAAATGCTCACCCTTTAATGAATGGATAAAAAGTGGTATATTATTTGCAATAAAAAGGAATGAAGTACAAAAAAAGAGAGAGAAACTAAATATTTTCATATAACCATACAAGATGTTAACTATAAATTCAATCAGCCACTTGATTTTTTTTATATACTGAGAGCTAAAAATGGTTTGTATATTTTCAAAGGTTACATCTTAAATGATTATTTACCTGTAGGCATAACTGTTTCCATTTGCCCTTTGGCCAGCAAAGCCTAAAATAATTACTATCTGGCCCTTTAAGAAAAGTTTGCCAACCTCCACTTCTTATAAAGGAATAAAAATAAGTCATTTATCAACATGAATAATCTCAAAAATGAACTGTGGAAAAAAAGCAAGTCACAGAGGATGTATATACTAATAAAACCATTTTTATAAACTTTTAAAACCATACCACATGCTGTTCATATATACATGCACACATAGGAAAAGTATAAAAATATCCATGAGAATGGTAACTACCAAATTCAGGATCGCTAACAAGGGAGAAGAATGGGCTCAGCAAAGGTACACATGGGATTTCAGCGGTCGCTATAATATTTTATTTCTTAAGTGAGGTCATGGGGGAATCAGGTTTTTTTTTTTTTTTTGTAAACCTAAAATAATTTTGTAAACCTAGAAAATGGTATGGAAATGGTGTGAAAAAGTTAAGAGAGAATGTGTATGGGATTTTTTTCTGTACTACAATGACATACACTGCTAAATTTTAGGGCACTATAATTTATTCCCATAAATCCCTAACACCTTGCAGTTTCTCACATATAATATGTATTATTTGTTGAGTAAATGAAAGAATACATACTATATCAATAAGCAAAAATACGCAAGAACACCACCTAACTCACTAGGTTGTTAGGACTGATGAAAATTCATTGAAAGCTCCTAGCAAACACCTGGCACATAATAAGCACTCAAAGTATGTTAACTATTATCAACTTAGGGGGAGAAGTATTAAGATGTATTTCTAATTATTGAAATCACATTAACCTCACTTAAAAGGAAGCAAATCAAACTATACATTAAAAATGACTAAGGGGTGCCTGGCTGGCTCAGTTGGTTAAGCATCTGCTTTCGGCTCAGGCCATGATCCCAGGGTCCAGGGATTGAGGTCTGCCTGCTTCTCCCTCTCCCTTTGCCACTCCCCCCTGCTCATGCACTCTCTCTCTCTCTCTCACACTCTCTTCTCTCTCTCAAATAAATAAAATCCATTTTTTTTAAAATGACTAAGATGGTTAATTATACTGAAATTAAAAAATAAAATACATTTTTAAAAATGACTAAAATGGTAAATTTTATGTTTTTACCACTTTTTAAAAAAAAAAATCACTCACATCCCGTGGTACTATATATTATTCCCCATTTTAATATAAGGAAACAAATTCAGATTGCTACTTTGCCCTGGGCGTGGATTTACAACCAGGTTTGCCAGACTGCAGAGCCCTTTATGCTAACAGTTTCTCCATAAATGATTAAATGACACTGACAAACTATTAAATGCTGAACGGCAAAAATAACTGTATTGTATACCTAACAGACATTACCCAGAATGATCAAGATTTTTCTTCTTAGCCAGGTCTTCCTCATCATTTTCCAATGACTCATTCTGGGAACAACCGGAAATTTCATCATGGTCAATAATTCTTCCAGAATCTTTAGTATTTAAAAACTCCTGTGCTCTTGAGCTGCCCAAAGTAGTTCTCTTCTGCCCTTTAAATGGAATGGTTTTTTCCTCAATATTCTTAGATGATTGATTTGATTTTTCAGCAGGTTTTCGTCTACTGTTGTGATGCACTGACAATTCATTTCTTCTTGAAGAATTGCTATAAACAAGACCTGAAGGATTCAGTGATAACCTAAAGTTAGCATAATGTTTACCCAGATTAGCAGGTTCACTGAAATACCAACATTATTTATTTACATGTAAATACACATAGACAGACAGACACACACACACACACACACACACACACACCAATCTCATAGGCTGTTTGTTTTCAAATTAAAGTCATAAACTATGCAGCTTTTCAACCCCTTTAAATGTATCACAAGCTTCCAAAACCACCCTCTGTGTCTCTGCCCACTACTCTTTTGGCCATCCTTAAGATCCTGTTATTTCCCAAGCTTCCAGCTTCAGCTTCTCATTCTATCTACTTTGAGGGACCCTTCTACTCTTAACTTTAATTACTATGTAGATACTGGTATCATAATATTCACCTACCACTCTCCCCCCAAATCTGACCTTCTGGTTTTAGTTCCTATCTTAATGAAAGTGTAACTATTTACCCAGATACCTACATCAGAAATCTGAGTCATCCAAGACTCCTATCCCTATCCACAATCAAATCCCCAAATCCTGTCATTTCTACATTCTTAATACCTCTCAAATCCACTTCTTTCAAGCTCTCCTGCCTATCATTGGACCCTCATCATTTCTTAACTGGATTATTAAAGCACCTCTTAGTCTCCCTTTCTCTAGCCTTGTTGTTCCTCAATCCATTCTTCATACTGCTTCAAGAATCATCTTAAGAAAACACAAGCTGGATCATGACAACCTTGCTAAATCTTTTAGTGATTATCTGTAACTTAAGGATTAAGTCCAAATATTTTCAGTAATTTATTTCTACACCTAGAGTATTTACTTCATTAATCAAAATTTTCAACATTCTCCTCAAATAAACAAATCAAAAAAAGCCAGCAATACTGAACTACCTGCATTTCTCTAAAGCACTGGTTCTTTTTTTTTTTCAAAGTGAATCTTTTTTATTATGTTATGTTAATCACCATACATTACAACATTAGTTTTTGATGTAGTGTTCATGATTCACTGTTTGCATATAACACCTAGTGCTCCATTCAGTATGTGCCCTCTTGTTGGTCCTTAGACCAGCAGGATCAGCATCACTTGAGAATTTGTTTCAAATGCAAATTCTCAGGCTAGGCTTCAGACCTACTAAATCAGAAGCTTTGAGTAGAGCCCAATAATCTGTGTTTTAACAAGCCCTCCAAATAACTCTGATAAAACAATTTTTAAAAGGTTAAACTCTCAGCTCTATATCTCTGTACATGCTACTCTACTGGAAACATTTCATCCTTCCTCCTCACCCCACCCAGTCACTCAGTTGATTCCTAATTCATGCTTCAGGAAGCTTTCCCTAATTCCCGTGCCTAAATTAAGTAGCTCTCTCTCAACCCTTTAATAATATTTATCATCCATCTAACTTTATTTCTCTTTCTCTTCCAGCAGACTGACAATTCCTTGAGACCAAGATTGCTCTTTTACCTATCTTTATATTCCCAATGCCTAACACCAGGGGCAGGACTGTGGTGAAGCAATTTTTTCCAGTCTACTGAGATATAATTGACACACAACACTGTATAAGTCTAGGGTACACGATGTAATAACTTTATATATGTATATATTGCAAAATGAATACCAAAGAGTAAATCTTAAAAGTTCTCATCATAAAAAAAAAAAAAATTTACCTAGGGTGGGAAATTTAAGAAGGTGCTTACTCTCAGAGAGTCATACAAGTACTGAACCCGAACTCACACAAACCTGAGACCGAGTGCCTCCTCAAATTTCTCATTCTGTTACTCACTTGCACCACTGTAGTATTGGCCGTGCCTAACACCATTCCAGCCTCACAGTGGGCACTCCATAAACGTTTCTCAACATAAAAGCAGTAGGGCCATACATCTACTACAGGCAGCTTGGCTGCTTATTAGGGAAACAAATATTACATCAACAGTCAGGAAACTGGGTTCTACTGTTTTCCAGTTCTAGCACAAAGGTCTATGACCTTAGGTTGCAAGCCATGTTGCTTTTTTGAGCTTCAGACTTTCTTTTTCTAGCAGATGAAGGATTGTTTTAACTCTGAAATCTATAAGCATTCCTCCATTTTTGTGACTCCCTACTTGATCAGAAACTCAACATCTGTTTCAAGACTGCTACATAAGTCTTTTTTGGTAAGTCTCAGAGTTCTAGAAAACTTATCCAGGCTTTGTAAGATTTTTATTTACCTATATATTTACACACTCATCTGCTATAGCAGTTTCAAGCACCTGGGGCAGAAAGGTGAGTTCCTCAGAGCAATAACAGGAGTAGATAATGTTTTATATACTAACTACATGCCATTTACTCCTTATCATGAGGTAGAAGGATTTGTAATCATGTTACAGAATGAGAAACTGAAGAAAATAACTTACCCAAACTGGAGAAATCATAATTTAAACTCAGATCTAAGTCCAAGAAAGGCTGCAAAAGAATATTTCTTTCTACTGTCAATCAAGGATCCCAGTGACTCAAAAATTCATAGCAACAAGGCCTCAGATGTAGTGCCATATTTATTCTACTCTCATTTGTGGATCTGAATACCACAGTCAACAGTATGATTTTCTTTTTTTCATGATTACCTCCTTTAAAAGATCAAAGATGTTTCCAAAACAATAAATGTTTCACATTGTACAGAAAAAGAGTTGGCATAGCAGACCTAAGAATGTTATCCTTAGAAAGACCAGCTTGCAAAGTTAGCTCTTGGCTAGCATTTGGGAACTTTAATTTCAGAGGGTTCCCATCATTTCCTAACTGATAAATGTGGTTTAGTGTGCCTAAACTGCTTTACAAAAAAATACAATTTATGTCAAATACTTGCTTTCCTTCAGGGAGTCTGGAATTTTAGTACTTACTTGGCAGAGGGTGCCTAGGTGACCACCTCCAGTAAAAATCTTGGGCTCTAAATCTCTAATGAGCTTCCCAAGTAGGTAACATTTCACATATCTATCGTTAGTATTCATTGCCAAAAGAACTAAGTGCCTCTGGTATGAATCCATTGAGAGAGGACTCCTTCAGACTTTGCCCATGTACTTTTTCTCTGATTTTGCTTTGTATCCTCTTGCTGTAAGGAAACTTCAGACACCATTAGCACTTCTCTCACTACACTTTCACCTGATGGCCTTGCTTACTACTTCACTGAGAAAACAAAAAAGTCAGAAGAGTACATATTCATCTTCTCACCATCAACTCTACCAACCTACTTCCATCTGTGTACTGCATCACAGTCCCCTCCTTACCTATTCAAGGACTGTGATCCTATATTTATACTCTAACTTTCTAGGAGGTTGGGTTTTTTTTATTATTTTTTTATTTTTTATATTCAAGAGTCTTTCTTAAGTTTTTAAATTCCAGTTAGTAGGGGCACCTGGGTGGCTCAGTCAGTTAAGCATCTGCCTTCAGCTCAGGTCCCAGAGTCCTGGGATAGAGCCCCACTTGGGGCTCCCTGCTCAGCAGGGAACCTGCTTCTCTCTTTCCCTACGCCCCTGCTTGTGCTCTCTCTCGCTATCTCTCTCTCTCTCTCTCAAATAAATAAATGGAATCTTTAAAAAAAAATTCCAGTTAGTTAATATACAGTATAATATTAGTTCAATATATCAAGCGTACAATATAGTGATTCAACACTTCCATACATCACCCGGTGCTCATCACAACAGGTGCACTCCTTAATCCCCTTCACCTATTTAACCTTTCCCCCTACCCACTTCCTTCTGGTAACCACCAGTTTGTTTTCTGTAGTTAAATGTCTGTTTCTTGGTTTGCCTATCTTTCTTTTTTTCCCCTTTGCTCATTTGTTTTGTTTAAATTCCACGTATGAGTGAAGTCATATGGTATTTGTCTTTCTCTGACTGATATATTTCGCTTAGCATAATACTCTCTAGTTCCATCCATGTCATTGCAGATGGCAAGATTTTATTTTTTATGGCTGAGTAATATTCCGTTGTGTGTTTGTGTGTGTGTGTGTGTGTGTGTGTGTGTGTATACACACCACATCTTCTTTATACATTCATCTGTCAATGGACACTTGGGCTGTTTCCATAATCTGGCTACTGTAGATAATGCTGCTATAAACATCAGGATGTATGTATCCCTTTGAATTAGTATTTCTATATTCTTTGGGTAAATACCTAGTAGTGCAATTGCTGGATCACAGCTATTTTTAACTTCTTGAGGAATGCCCATAGTTCTCCGCACTGGCTGCACCAGTTTGCATTCCCACCAACAGTACAAGAGGGTTCTCCCTTCTCCACATTCTATGGTTATTTTAAATGAGCAGATAAACTGACGTAACATCTTGTACATTATTGAAAAAAAAAAGACCTTCCCTTGACCCCACATCTCTATGCTTCCTTATCTTATTATCTCTCCTTCCTCACTTCCTACTCTTGAAACCACTTCAGTCAGGCCTTTGATTTGATTATTCCACAGAAACCATTTCTACCAAAGTGACCAACAACCTCCACATGGCCAAAATTATATTGTCATTCTTAACTCTCGTCTACTTCAAGCCATCAGCAGTATTTAAAAGAGTTCATCACTCAATCCTTAAAATGCTTTCATTACTTTGCTTCCATAACCCTAAGTTCTCTTCAGTTTCCTTTAACCTTACTAACTGCAACTATTTAGTTTCTTTTGGTGGATCCTCCTTTCCCTCTTGACTCCTGGCATTGGGAGTCTCCCAGGACTCAATCCTTGGCTTGCTTTCTTCTCTAGGTTCAGTCTATCACTAGGAATTTCAAGCAGTCCTAAAGTTTTAAATATCATCTATATATTGGTAAGTCCCTAATTATATGTCTTCCCAAATCTTTCCCCTAACTTTAAAAACTCATTTACCAGGCTATTTCCTCAATGTATCTACATTGATACCTAATTAATTTATTACAACCTGAAATCTTGACATCCTTCCCAAATCTGCTTCTTTCATACTTTCCCTCATTCAGTAAATAGTAGAGCTCCCTTATTCTATTTGTTCAGGCAAAAAAAAAAAAAAATCTGAGTCATCCTAGACTTCTGGTTCTCTCTTACTCCAATCTGTTAGTACCAAATCCAACCACTTTTCATCTCTTCCCTCCAACAATCTCTTAACTAGTATCCATGCCCTAGTTTCCTCTCTATGTAGCAGTAAAAATAATTCTTTTAGAGGCGCCTGGGTGGCTCAGTCAGTTGGACATCTGCCTTCGGCTCAGGTCATGATCCCGGAGTCCCAAGATCTAGCCCCGCTTCAGGTTCCCTGCTCAACAGGGAGTCTGCTTCTCCCTCTGACCCTCACCCCACTTGTGATCTCTCTCTCACACTCTCTCTCTCAAATAATAAATAAATAAAATCTTCTTAAAAAGTCTCTTAATTTAAAAAAAAAAAGAATAATTCTGGGCGCCTGGGTGGCTCAGACGGCTAAGCGTCTGCCTTCGGCTCAGGTCATGATCTCAGGGTCCTGGGATCGAGTCCCGCATCGGGCTCCCTGCTCCTTGGGAGCCTGCTTCTCCCTCTGCCTCTCTCTCTCTCTCTCTCTGTCTGTCATGAATAAATAAAATCTTTAAAAAAAAAAAAAAAAAAAAAAAAGAATAATTCTTTTAAAAGAGGATTCAATCAAGTCACTTCATTGCTTAAAATCTTCCAGTAGCTTCCCAATACACTTCGCTTACACTGTCTATCACAGCCTCCCTCTCTGACTTCATCTCTCCTGGCTTACTCATCTTTAGCCATACTAGCCTTCTTGAATCCCTCAAACATGCCAAGTATGTTCCATCAGCACCTTTATAAATACGTTCCCTTGGTCTGAAATGTTACACACCAAGTTATTTGTATGGTTCCCCTCTTCATTTTTCTGAGATATATGCTCTGAAAGATCAAAATGGACTCTTATTACTACCTTTTACAAAAACATTGTTCTATCTTCTTATCCACCCCACTTCTACCTCTACTTCCCATCTCTATCCTTTATCAGCTTTTTCTTTTTTTTTATTATGTTATGTTTATCACCATACATTACATCATTAGTTTTTGATGTAGTGTTCCATGATTCATTGTTTGCGTATAACACCCAGTGCTCCATTCAGTACATGCCCTCTTTAATACCCATCACCAGGCTAATTTTTCTTTATTGCCCATCACTACATGAATTATACACTTATATTGCTGGTCTTCCTCCACTCAAATGTTAAGTCTCACGAGAGCAGGGATTTGTTTTTCCACAGCTATATCCCTCTATCTAGAATACAATATATAGTAGAGCCCAATATCTTCACACTTAACTGACTTAATATTTCTATTAATGACCCAATTTAACTTTGTCCTCATTAGGTTTTCTGTGGAAAATGGGAGTATAAATCAAAATAAAGCCTCTTATAGAATGACTTTTTGGAGCTCTCAATGAACATCATTTAAATAAAATACTTACTCTGTTCTGACTTTACCACCCACCAATTAGATGGACGCCTGGAAATTCTTCGACTTCTTGTAATAGTTGAAGTCACTTCTTCAGGTACAAGTTTATTCTTCTTGGACCCACTGGGAAAATGATTCTTTTTATATTCCTTATCTTTTTCTGAGTCTCTGTATAAGGAACATTGGTGCTATTTTTCTTGCTTCCTATGAAGAAAACCATAAAAAACAATTTACAATCTATGGAACTGAAGAGTTTTCAGAAAATCACAATAGGTTAAAAAAAAAAAAAACCTCTCAATTATAGGAATATCTTAAATTTATTCTGTGGGCTTCTTTCATCTCTTTTTTTTAAGTCAAATGTTCTCAGTAAGATCTGTTTCTGTCAGTTAAATATAAACTTTGACATTGCTTGATAACTAACATACTCCTCAGTCAAAAAAAGGAGTACACTCTGAAAAGGAAAAATATATGGCTTCTTCCAACTACTTACCAATGTTCCAAGTTAAAAAAAAAAAAAAGTAACCACTGCTTTTCTGTTTCGAATTAAATCATTATTTTGTCAATCTAATTTTTGAAAGAGGAGATTTAAAGTGAGGTTTCAATAAAGAGATGTTCCTATACGAAGGAAAACCATTATTTTTGTTAACAGAATTTAAAAAAGAAAAGAGAATGAAAAGAAACAATGAATATGGCAAGCAATACATAGCTAATGAAAAGGTTTGGTGTCAGTAGTAACCTCATTTCACTACCACAACAATTGGGTAAGAAAAGAATCTAACAGAAGGGTGAAATCAATTCTAGTTTGTTTTTTGTGGCTGACAACCAGAAGAAGAAAAAATCAGGGAAATACAAGATATTTCAATACAAATATTACAGTTAAGAGGGGCACAATCACCAAAATGGAAAATTTCTTTTACTCAGAAACAGGTTTAAAATATTAGGTGTTAGTAGACAGAACGGAAAATTTTCTTGATCATCAAATAAATCAAGAAACCATCATTTATAAAAAAAAAATAAAAAAATAAAAAAATCTTGGGCGCCTGGGTGGCTCAGTTGGTTAAGCGACTGCCTTCGGCTCAGGTCATGATCCTGGAGTCCCGGGATCGAGTCCCGCATCGGGCTCCCTGCTTGGCAGGGAGTCTGCTTCTCCCTCTCCCACTCCCCGTTTGTATTCCCTCTCTCGCTGTGTCTTTCTCTGTCAAATAAATAAATAAAATCTTAAAAAAAAAAAAAGTTTCTATAAAAAAAAAAAAAGAAACCATCATTTATTAAGTAACTGAGACAAAGACTTCTGGTCCAAAGAAGGAATTAAACTCGTATCAAGTAGGAAATATTCATGGAGTAAACAAACTACATAAAAGTATGTAAGACCAATAGAGCAGGTATTATATTTAACCACATAATTAAATATGAAACTATACAGAACTTTTAAAAAGATGAAAGGAGAACATAATACAGGTTGAAA